ATAAATACATCAAAGTAACACTTGAAGAATATCTGAAAAATGGTCCAATTTACAATAAAAAATTCTATGCAAATATTCATAGCTCACTACAAGTGATATCGGTGCCTATTAAAACGCTCCCAATTTGCAATACTGCATTTTTTCCCATTGGCATCAAAGGTTGGTGGACTTATGGAGTTCATAACAAAAAACTTGTAAGTCTAGGTTTGAGTTTTCAGTACCAAGCTACCAGCTGTTAAAATATTAAATTTATCCATATTCACAAATAGGTACAGGTAACCTTTTTCAATAGTATGTATTAACACCTAAAATTTCCAGAATTTAGATTGAAGCAACAGTAAATTTTTAACATGTTTCAATTGCCCGCTAAAGAGAAGCAATCAAATAAAAAGAGGACTAAAATTGTCAAAATTAAATTAAATTAAAGCGAATTAAATGTGTACTCCATGATATCACTAGCTTCACAAAATTACAATATTTGCAACTGACTTAACAATATTGAGAAAATTGTTTAAATGTATTTTTCTAGGGTTCTAAAGGAAATTGGAAAAATAGCAATTAGACTTTTGCAAAAAAGGTCAATTAAAAAACTGACACACAGTCCTATTGCAATAAAATTGTATCATAAGACATTTTTTAATAAGGATTATTGATTCTGTTATTGATTTGTGTACAACGATATATTTAAATTTGTAACATTGTAATAAATTTTTGTTTGAGATTTTCCTACGATCAATAGGTTCATACTTTTCTAATTAAAAGGGTCTTAGTGGTACATTTATTGTCGTAATTCTTTTGCTAAAAATTATGTAGGTATAAGTGTTAAAATAGATGAATGCCAGTTCAGTTCCATCAAATTCTGAGTTACTTTAAACCAGTTATGTACATCTTCTATTTGACTTACCTTACTTGTTACTTATGTAACGCTTATATAAACCTCGTGATAAAAAATTAATATTTATTCCCAATTATTAACTGTATTGTTCTGATTAAAACATTCTTCGCATATATTAATAATTTTGTTACATAATATATTGAGGTCTTCTTCAAATACCACTAGATCTCATTGCGCAACCACCGACGGCAGCATCTATCTTTACTATTTGACTTTTTATCTAACGCGTAAACGTAAATTAACTTTTATGCCATTACAAAACTCTAACCTACTCAGAAGCAGACATTATATATTGAGGACTGAATGCTCGTTTCCTACACAGTTTGATTCTATGGATGATTTGCGTTCACGTTAAATTGTAAATCTTGGTTTCATTAGTCTGGCGTTACATCAGAATTTAAAACAGTAAAACCAGAAGTGATGCTCGTCGTTTACACACTCTCTGATTGCTGTAGTTCAAGTTAAGATGTCGAACAAATGCGGCATCGGTAAGAATAACTTGGGGATCATTAATTTCTCATTAAAAGTTCATAATAACCTAGAAACATAAATTTTCCTTACAAATACAAAAAAATTGTAAACAAAAAATTGCAAACAAAAAATTTAAATTATATTTGTTATACACACAGTTCAAAAATTCCATATACCAGGTATACCATATGAACAATATTAAATATTTTGGTTTCAAGCTACAATATTGTTATATTTTGGATTTCATATCTACTTATTTTGGTAGAAAAGTCTCACTACAAAATGTTGTTAAAATTCGTTCTCAATTAACGAAATGCCAGTGAAACAAATTTTCATCCCGCATTAAAAACGAAAATTTTTCTGTTCACATATAGTGACTAGGAGAAACTCTCCCAATTCTAGAAGTATACACAATTTAAAAACTTTCAAAGTCAATTTTTATTTCTTCCTCCTGCTCAAAGTACCTACATACGTAAAAGTAAAAAGCGCGACGCGAAAAATAACATTTCCGACAATATTTTGAAAATTTCCGCGGAAGTTCTTTACGAAGCTGCCAGCCGCCCGCAAACACCAGAGAAACAGCAGACGACACAGCCATAGCCGCCACTGCCTGCAAAGCAGCCATCGACGACACTGCAGAAATAGAAAATTCACCTCGGTTTAGAATTTCGGAAAAGTTGCCTGAATATTACAAAATTCGAACTGGGGAGCTTCAAGACAAAACCATAGTCAGTCTACAAGCCGATCATCAGTTCCAATCAGCGACAATCTAAAGAGAGGTAAAATCTTGAGAGGCCAATGGTCGAAATCTATGGCGTACTTCGTTACAGGATATCTACGGATCCGTCAATGACTGTGATCGATCGTCGACCCCTGATTCCTTGCTGTTCATTCAGTAACGGATCCTGGCCATTGCGTGGAGTAAACTTTATTGCTGTTTGTCCCAAAAGTCACGCAGGATTCGAATTGTTGTTTCATTCCGAAGAGTTAGACGTTGCGGTTATATAAAATGGAACGCTATACGAAGGATAAGCAAGAAAATATTGCGAAAATTCATTACAAGTACGGAGAGTGTGTAGCTGAGACGGTGCGCAAATTACTTGAAATTTTCGGTAGAAAGAACACCCCGAATGAAACTATGAAAAGATTAGTTTCCAAATTTGAATAAACAGGTTAGGTTGCAGACAATAAAAAAACGGGCTAGCCTCGTATTGGCCGTTCAGCCGAAAATGTTGCTACGGCGAATGACAGTGTGGCGGAAATTCCCGTAACCTCAGTGCACCGTTAGTCACTGCATATACATTTCAAAAAGCACAATGCAGCGGATTTTAACAAAAAATCTGCATCTGCATCGATTCAAGATTCAGCTAACTCAGGAATTGAAACCAGATGACCATTTAATATACCGGACATTCGTTGATTACATGTTGAAGAATCAACAAGTGGGTGGTGATTTTGCTAAGAAAATTATCCTTAGCGATGAGGCACATTTCCATTTTGAGGGGCAGAGACAACCCTCAGGTCATTCAAGAACGACCATTGTATACTCAAAGTGTGATAGTGGGATGTGGATTTTATGTTGGTGGGGCTGATTGGTCCATTCTTGTTTGAAAATGAAACTAGAAACGCAGTGACTGTCAATGGATAACAATATCGAGAAGTGTTATTAAACTTTTTGGGGCCTCATTTGGATGGCATGAACTTGGGCGACGACATATGGTTGCAGCAGGATGGTGCTACCTGCCATACGGAACGTGAAACTATCCACTTGTTACAGCAGAAAAATGGACGACTCATCACACGTACCTGTGAAGTGACTTGGCTACCAAAATCGTGCGATCTTGCGCCATGCGACTTTTTTCAGTGGGGATTCGTAAAGTCCAAAGTTTATTCCGTTCAAATGAAAACTATTCCTGAGGTAAAGGCAGAAATTCGGAGAGTTATTAACGAAATCCAGCCGCAGACATACGAAAGCGTGATACAGAATTTTATTAAAAGAAGTCAAGTATACCAAACAAACTACAGCAAATTATTAGATACCTACTTATTTTTTTGTTAGTAAAAATAATTCAGTTAGTCTAGTTTGTTAATTGAGAAAGTCCTAAATTTGACATTTTTGTTTCTAAGAAGCAAAAATAACATTTTCGGTATAAGAGAGAAAAAGTATCAGTTTCGACTAAACAGTGAGAAAATCCTTATTTTCGTATACCCAGTAGGAAAAAATAGTGTTGGTACAGGACAAATAAATGACCGCTTCAACATAACGTATCAAAACTTTAGGCACATAAGAAATACAATTGTTAATTGCTTGTATTTTGCGGTTCTTCTTTAAATAAACGCTTATTATCTAACCAGTTCCCAGAAATAATAATCATATTTTAATTATCTAATACTTTTAACTTTCTGTTCAAAATATGTAGAATGTTTACAGAATCTTTGAAACCGTACCTTATATAAAAGTATGTGCAGCTGTAGACAGCGCACTGTCTGCCTTTTGTAGTAAAGATAAGTGTCTCTTTTATTGTTTATGCTTCAAGCGAAGTCAGTGGTTGCAAAAATGTTCCTTCATATTATTGTGGTCAATGTAAAATTTTAAATTTGTTTAAATGTAGGTATTATCTCTACATATTGCTAATATCGTACTAAACAAAAAAACTTCCATTTGAAAATAAATAAATTTTGAGAAGAATGAAACCAGTATAACTCATATCCACGCTACTGGTTTCCGCCCAGGTTTCCTCGCTTTGAATTCAATTTTATTAATTTATAATGCACATAAAATTTCGTTTTATTAAAATTATTTTTTTCATAAGATATTTAGGGATGTAACACTTTTAGAAAAGAACAAACATCTATATCTAAAAAACAATGTTTTAAATGCAAAAAGTAATATTTATATAAGAAATATTCTCAAACTTAAATTTTTGATACGTTGTAAACTGACCCCTTGTATTTTTTCCTTCCTGCACTGAATAGTTGCCTGTTTTTTGGAAATCCTCAAATATCTACTTAATTAATTAATTAAAATTAATTAAAAAAAACAGCAAAAATAAAAATCTATCTCATTATATGTTTTATGTCTCTTTCCATTTAAATTTCCATTTATTTAGAATGTAAACATTTCAAAATAGGAGAAATATGTTGCATTGTCGCATTTCCCGTTATTTATGAACGAATAAAAATTGTTTTTATGAAACAACTGTCAGATTTTGAAAAAGGACGTTTATGGAACTTTGTCGTAATTATTATTTTACATTACTTAAATAATAACAGTACTAAACGTTAAAGTATAAGTTAATAACTGGTTTCTTGAGCATAAATGTCAGAACTTTGTAGAAAGGTTTATAGCACCCAGTATGCAAACTTTCGCATACATTTGTTGCAATGGTGGCGACTGGTACGTGACAGTCTTAGTAGAAAGCAAAAGCAAGGCAGGATTTTGTGCGGCTCATATCTTCAAATAATTTAGTCCCAGAACCAAATCAGTGCGTCTAGAATTCAGGAAGATCCTATTTCTAGAACTGCGTGGTGGTGGCAGAAGGTAAAACCGACAGGATCAACGTCGAAAATAACAAAATATATAAGTAGAGTCACCTAGCGAGTAGCCCGCTAGTTGTTTACAAGAACTGAGTTGGATCGGTGAAAGTGATTTTAGTTTAACTTCTCTTGGAGGACTGGTTACGAAGACATACCCACACACATGCGCAGTGTAAAAAAAGACGTAGTATAAATATAAATCTCGCCTCCAACCACTTCTTGGCTAGTGCTCGAAGTTTCAGCATGGCTAACAAAAGACTTTGGCTGTGTTGTTTTTTGCTCCTTGGGATTGGTGAGTTTTTCAGAATTTACGATTGGTGGTGGTGGTGGTGGTGATGGTGGGTTTGTTGATTTACCTAACTGTGAATCCTCATATTTTTCGACATAAAAAAAAGAGAAAACCCGACGTCCACATCCGGTTCGGGCACTTTCTAAAACTCGCATTTTGGTTAGGTGAAGGTCAATTTTTTTTCATCAAATTTGAGAAACATTTTCTGTGTTAAGAATTATTTTATATTATTTATTATTGTACCAGTAACGGTAAAATCGAAATTATAATTCTAAAACTGACACTAATACTCGCAAGGTGTGATTAAATAATAGTGTACCGTTGACTTAATAATGTGTAAAAGTTTGTTTTACCAGAAAGGATAAGCAGTTAGGTATTCATTAACCGTGATCAAGTTACAGGAAGTAGTAAATTAATATTTATACTCAATTTACAGTTATTTAGTTACGCGAAATTGGTCAGAAATTTTTACAGTTTAGTTGCTAAGCCTTCACAAGTAGTTATGCAATAGCTGAAGATTTGAAATATATAATTTTGTATTACTTTAAAAAGTACTACGACCTAGATGTCAGAGTTCAAGTTGCACTACGGGACTCTTTATTGGCAATTATTCTTTATAGTTTAATTAATTTTCTTTTTTATAAATTGACGTTTATACTGCAATATAAAAAAATAAATAACTACTGTGTGAAAATTTGAAGTGAATTTTAAGTATGTTTGAAGTAAAATATGTTTGGATGAACTTTCTAATGTACCTACGTAGTACATAACAAAGCCAGCATCAACTACAGTTTTTTTCCTTGTTCTTCTGGATAACCTTCAAGATTTAGTAACTAATTACGGCGGTATGTTCTGTTGGAACCACTCCTAACACATTTCGATTTTTACCAAGGATGCATTTTTTGCGGCTAATCGGTAATTAGCATAAATTTGAATTTTTCTAGACCTATTTTAGGAATGCAGTTTGGACTTTCATTAAAATGTCAACATGTACACTGAAAGAATATCCTCTGAAGGTTTCCCAGTCAAGTCGCTTAGCAATTCCAACATTTATTTAGATTCAAGGTTAACCAACCATTCCTTGTGTATCGAGAACGGCAAATGTCTTTCGTGCCTCATTCTAGGAATTTCATAAAGACTGCTCATTTTTTCGACACCCGATCATCTCTCTGAAATGTCATCAAGAGAATGTTCTTGAAAGCCAATTTAAATATCGAGTGTTGCAATTCGACATTTGACCTTTCTCCTTTTGTTTCTTTATGTGGCTTTACCGAGAACGACAATCATGTATAAGTCATTTAAAGGCTTGGCAAGGTGATATGGGGTGAGGTTTAGAAGAAATATTTAACTGCTTTATGTGGTTGACTTTACAGCTCAATGATTTAGGTCTAGTTGCGAAGAACATAAAAACATTTAAACGTTTTCAACTTTCTACTTCGATTTGGTGTTGCATATTATTGTTTTGTACTTAAAATTGTTGCGGCGCTATTTACGTATGTACCAGATAGGTCTATATATTAGTAGGTACTACCTTATCTTACATAAACAACCATATAAAAACCTGTTCTACGTTAATTTACAACGCACTTTCGATTGACCCAGATTTCTTCCTTATTCCATGGAAGCTCTTTCGCGTTGAATTTTACATGACTGCTTTTCATTGAAGTAAACAATAAGCTTAAATAATCATCTTGTTTCTGTCCAGCTTATGCCCAGGATGAGGAAGGTGGCGATTCTGAAGCTAGCGCAGAGCAGCTGTGTGAGAATAGGCCAGCTGATGAATATTTCCGTCTTACAACGGAAGGAGACTGCAGAGAAGTAGTCAGGTAATTTATAAGACATTATGTTAGTTGTGTAAGTTTTCCAGAATCGTTTATTTTTATAGATTTCTCTTTAAAACCTTGTGCTCGATTAACACTTATTTTTATTTAAACTCAAGCAATACGCTATGGAAACATTTTTTTAGGCAAAGTATATAAAATACACGTTAATAATAATGATTTGCATAAGTATGTCGTTCTAGTTCTATATATTTTTCAATAGATTCAATAGAGACTTGCTTACACAAATATAATTGTTAAATAAGGATATAGAATAGGTATACTGTTCAAAATTAACCATCATAGTTTATATTAATTACATAACTACGGTATTCTGTTTAGAAAAGCTTTAACCAGTTTATATATTGGTATTGCTATTATTATCGAATGTTTACAAAATCAACATTATGTCACGTGGTATATTTAGACTAAAATAAGAACCCATTGTCTATGGAATGACTTTTTAAGAAAACATGGAAATTTTTTAATTATAACTTATATTTATCATTAATTTTAATGTTTAAAATTTAACAGTAAATATCTTTATATGGTAACATAAAATATAATGGATGCATATGTTTCAAAAATTGTATTTAACTAAATTGACCTAACATGTCGAATTCACACAGATCTGATCCATTCTCTCTCCATTGTGATTTTCTCCATTACACAAAAAATATTTTTTTGAGAAAAAAGCGTATTGATTTCAGATATTTTAATTATATCATAATTTTTAATACCAATCCAGCAATCTCATACATACTTTTGATATTTTAAAAGCCAAGTGATTAACATAATAAACAATTTTATATTTATGATAAGCTCTATTTCATAAATTTGAAAAGTCCGATCCTAAAAACAATAAATTTAAGATGGAGCCACGGATTCGAAATAATAATATATAATATTTTTTTACTAAAAATGCTACTTTGAATATCTTCTGTAAGTTGTGTTGGGAGATATATTGCCCATTTAAAAACTGTATGAGATTAGTAAAATACAATTAAAGTTGAAATGAATATACGGTAAAATCTGAAGCATACCAGCTGATGAGTATCATCGAAATGTTTGTAATATATTCATATTATTACTATTTATTTTTAAAAGTTAAAACCTGTTATTTTCTCAAAAACCCCGTTTTTAAATTGGTATTCAATTGTTTTTCTAGATTTTTACCATGCATATGTCTATATTTTGTTCCATTCAAATACAATAAACGCAATGACGTACCTAAATCGCAATAAAAAGAGAATTATTTAGATCATCATGTACAGGTTATTTATCATCTTAGATCTTCTTCTATTGAATATTTTTTTCGGGTAATTATTAGAAACAGTAAAATATTAATGCAAATTTTTATATGTACTTGTCAATTTGGAAAGCAAAAATTTTAATACCACTTATTATACAATACTGGAAAAAATTGAAGGAATAAAAAATGTTCATGAATTTTTCAGTGATTTTTCTTAAGGCTTTCTTCCTGAAAAATGATCGTAGCGAGATAAGCAAGACAGCATTTCGAAGCTTTTAAGTCTCTAGTTTCAAGATATTCAGACAAAAAAATTTTGAAAATTTTTTTTTTAATTTTCAGATTTTTTTTCTTAAGTTTAAACTATATCTATGAAAAATTGTTGGAGCATCCGAGAATGATAACGTAATATTTAGGAGTAATAAACTTAATTATTATTACCAAAACTTTGATCACTTGGAACAGAAAAACGCTCTGATGCATCAACTGTCAATTTACATTGTTATTGTATGATTGAGCTGTAAAAATTTCTCTCGGTATTATTCTTTTCATCAATATTTTGTAAATTAGCTGTAGAATTTCTAAAAAACTGTAAAGTCATTTTTATGCACTTTCTTCAAATTGATGTCAAGGATGAAAAAAAATTCTTCGAAAACCATGACAGGTCCTTGTAGGCAGTTTATTCAAGTTTTCAAAACTGCCCTTAGATTTAGTGTGCAATAATCTCTTGCAGAGATATCAATGAATAAAGACAAAAGTGTCATTTTTTATTTAACGATCAATATCTCTTCAATCGATAGTCGCACGGAGACCTTTCAAAAATCAAATTGAAGCTGAATAAATAAGCTAACTGACCACTATATTGATTGAGTTTGAAGAAACTCCATAGAATCCAAAAAAAATAAAAATTTAATTTTTTTCTTGAGCAAACAATCGTAGCTCGAAAAAATGTGTCTAAAGATCTTGAAACCAGAAGCATAAAGCTTCAAAACGCTTTTTTATTTATCTCGATACACACAAAGATACAGTCTTTCGAAAATCACTAAAAAATTATGAACATTTTTTGATCCTTTAATTTTTTTCAGAAGTGTAGTACATATATTAGTAATATTATTGTTAATACAGAAATCACTTATATCACTACACCTACCACCGTGCTTATAAAAATCTAAATTTATTTTCTAGGACTTCCTCATTGTCACCTTCAGTAACTGTATATTTTATTTCGTTAAAACCCATTTATATTCATGATGTATCATTTCTGGTTAATCTAAACTGCATTTATTATGTTTCATGAAATTTAGGTGCGATATGAATTCAGATAATAATGGCGTCACTAGATTGGCATCAGTCAAATGTCCAACTGGTCTCGCTTTCGACCTCGATCGACAGACATGCGACTGGAAAACTAATGTCAAAAATTGCGATCGTTTAGAAAGTAAGTCGATAAAGAAGAAATAGTGACACTTATCACAATATCAAATTGTATTTTTTCGCAAAACAATACTCAGCTAAGTCAAGAACTTAAAACATACGGTAGAGGCGAATCCTGCCGTGCAAGGTACAGCAGAATAATAACGATAAAATTCCTGAAACGCAGCAATTAAAGAAAGCTATACTTATTCACAGTTGATTTTTTTGTTTCTTTTGTTTGGCCACCTGCACAATTAAATAAAGAAAAGTGAAATTAACTTTACGTAGCTCTAACTTTTTTTCATTTATAATGCCAAGGGTCATGCTGACTATACAAATAAATAAATTTTAAACTCATGTTTTGCAGTTAGTGTTATTACTTTAGATTTGTGATGCGGTCACTGTTTCTTGGTTGAAACATTAATATTAAGAGAACATTTTGACGTAACAGGTGTACTAAATCCGGTCTAAAACAAATCACTTGCCCCAGTGGATTGGCGTTTGATGTCGATAAACAAACTTGTGACTGGAAAGGAAAAGTCACAAATTGTGATAAACTTGAGAGTAAGTCGTCGCACTTGCGATAAGTGCGGTGAAGGAGCAACTTTTGGGCAGCTATTTAAGGTTTCCAATTGGTTTTATTTTACTAATCGACTTTTTGCACATTTAAGTTATGTGCCATACAAGAATATTCATTAAATTAAAACAAATCTGGAAATCTTAACCGCCGCATATTGTAGAGCTATACATTTGAACTGGTTTTGGAGACGGTTTTGGATGTAAATTTTTATGTGAAAAGCAAATAGAAATGTAAATTATTGGGGACAAATTAAGTTTGTAGAAATTTGTCTGTTATCGACATAGACTATTAGAAAGTAGATGCTAATGCCTAATATTTTGTGTATATTTACAGTGTCTTAATAATAATTAATACCTTATTTGCATGTCTGTTACTGTTTGTTCTGCTGTTATTTCAATACTGGCTTTGGTTGGGACTTGGCAGATTGCACATGAAATAACTTGCTTCATTACACATCTAACCTATTTGCATGTTTATGTTATATGCCTTATACTTACCTATTTATTCTTACTGTTAAACACTTCTACACCTTTCTAATAATTACTCTTGGCAACGATACGAATGTTTGTAAATCAGTAACAAAAACTTTTCAAACTTTTCTCAATTGTTCTATTAAATATTGGCATGTATACGTATGTTTAAACGTTTTTCTCTCTTCTAATGGGCAATATTCCATAAGTGGGTCACTCAATAAATTCAGAATATAAAATATATCTGCACAATAATACTAGCGAATAATCTAACGATGATTAGTTTAAATAAATTATGTTAATTCTCTTAATGGAAAAATAAATATTAAATTTAAAATTTTCGTTAAAAGAAAAGGACTTAAATTTTTATGTTATTTATTTAGAAAAAGACTTACTTATCTGGGATGCCCTATACATATAACTCTTGTTGTGACTAAAACTTACATTTCCATATCTACTAGAGTTTCCCTAAATTGATTTCCAATTATCTACTTTCTATTTCTCGTGCGAGAAGCTGTAAATATTTTGTACAAAGAAAAACGCCAATCAAGTATACACAATACCTGTACAGACTTACTTTAAGCCACTCAGTTGGATGAATTTTTATTTTTAACTACTGCATCTAAACCATTTTAGAACCTAGGAAGACACTTCCCATATTTAAGACTGATGAACCCCAATGCCCTGATGGAAAACTGTTGTGTGGCAATGGCGAGTGCCTTGACAAGGAACTCTTCTGTAATGGAAAACCGGACTGCAAGGATGAATCCGATGAAAATGCTTGCGGTAAGTGAAAAAACATGAAAGTGGCATAATATATACAATTCCAATAACAGGGTAGGTCTGTCTTATCAAAGTTGCGATAAAATCATTTTGATATTTCTAGCAAAAAAAACTTCCCATAAGCATGTGTCCGGAGGCGCTTGTTGTTATGGTAAAAAGATCCTTTCTTTATTATTTCATTGAAACTATCCATGTTTGTTCTTAAGACATCTTACAAGACATCTTTCTGCCTAATTAGATATTAGCTACTTATTGCAGTGATGTTCCAGTAAAAATCAATAAGAGGCACGCTCCTGCCGCAGTAAATTGTTACTGTAGTTCGGATAATAGAACTTTATTGGCTTATTCTTTTCTTGGAATTCTATCTGAACAAATATCGAAGGGACCGTAGTTTACACGATTCTAGTAGACACGACCAGGAGGAATTAAGAAATTACTACTATGTCCAGTAATTTATTATTATCATTCATTGTGTTGATGTGCAATTATTAATGCACCATCACAAGCACACCGTCCTTTCACAAAAATATAACACAATTAAAATATGAACCTAGAAAAAATAATAGATTTTACTTAAACGTTTTCTGTTTACTAATAAGTTTCAAAATAAATTGTATGTTTGATGATTAGGGCTGTCACAACTTAGCCGCGGGACATAGGCGTAAGCATTATGTATTAAAAAGCAACAAATTAAATTGTCTACAATACACCATAAATACCAATGAATATAAATTAATTACGCAACATCCGCACGATCACAAAGCAACAGGATACTAACGGGACATGAACGTGAAAAGCATTCTAAGGCAGCGGCTCACGCATGTCTTGGTTGGCCCACTTGGCACGCTATTGAATTGCGGCTCACTCTGACAGCCTTAATGATAATTAAAGTGACCCAAAATTGAACAAGCAGATTTACTGGAATAAATAAGTAAAAATGTAATTACATCAAAAAACGTTTTGTACCATTATAAAAAAACGTGATGTTCAAATTGACAAAAGTTTTTAAGTATTAATGAAAAAACGATTTTCTCTCAAAGTTAGGATATACAGGGTGGTCCCGAGGTAATGGTCCAAGATTCATGGGTAGATTCCCCAAACAAAAATATTGCGATTTAGCCGAATTACTTTATACCAAAAGTTGATAGTTAAAGAGATACAGGGTGTTAAATGGGTGTTGTTTCAGTTTTTTCATTTATTCCTTAACAAATGTAAATATTCACACAAAATTTTGAGGTTTGGGATTCTTTGGGTAGAGGAATTGAAATTTAATTACATTTTGCTTAAAGTTCATAGAGGGCGCTAGCTGCAGTAGATTGAATGTGTTAAAAACGACATAACTTTTTTATGCTTTAAGGTATCTCATCTTTGGTATCAAATTTTTATTTTCCAACTTTTTTTTACACAAAAAAGCTATACTATAATAAGGTATGAAAGTAGATGTCTCGCACCGTTTTCTCGATATTTGGCTTTGAAACTTCCAATGCTGTTGCATTAAATTACAATTAAGTACCTACAGGTATTATTAATTTAGCGGTAAAGTTTCTTAAGTAGGATTTGGACGAAAATCAAATAAGTGACGTTTTCTACTTGTTTTATTGCTGTCATTAATTAAAATTACGTTGTAGCTTACAATTTAAATTGTATATGTATACATAAATGTGAGATAGAATGCCGAAACTTTCGTTTTTGGGGTTACATGAAATTAGTTGTTTATAGAGAAACTATAAAGACCTGAGAAGAACTTTTGCAGCAGGTTTTAAATGCTGCAAAGTCATTTCGCGTTAAGGATTTATACTTTAAAATAAGACAATTTTTAATAAACGCGTTGATAAATGTATTGAATATAGAGCTGGACAGTTTGAGCAATTATTGTCAAAAAGGCATATTTTTTACTAATGTTTACTATTTTACTGTTCATTACAATTTTTAATTCTAAATAAATCCTTGTTTTTAACATTTCTAAATTATTTTAATTATTTCAACTATTAGCATTGGAAGTTTCAAAGGCAACTATCTCGGAAACGGTGCGAGACGGCTACTTTATACCTTTTGCAAAAAAAAGCTGTGTAAAAAAAGTTGGAAAATAAGAATTTGATATCAAAGATGAGATACTTTAAAGTACAAAAACAGTTATGTCATTTTCAACACATTCAATCTACGGCAGTTAGCGCCCTCTATGAACTATAACCAAAATGTGAACAAATTTCAATTCCTCTACCCAAAGAACCCCAAACCCCAAAATTTTGTTTGAATATTTGCATTTATTAAGAAATAAATGGAAATAAACTAAAACAATATTTAAATTTAACACCCTGTATCTCTTTAACTATCAACTTTTGGACTAAGGTAAGATCAGCTAAATCGCAATATTTTTGCGTCAGGAATCTACTTATGAATTTTGGCCCATTATCTCGGGACCACCCTGTATTCTAACTTTGAGAGAAAATCGTAATTTAGAAACTAAGCGTTTCCGTACAAATATTTATAGGAAATTATTCTTAATTTGTTTAAAGGTAATCTCTACCTGAATTTTTTCTCGATATTAATTAGTCGTCATACATACTACATTGAAAATATAAACAAAAATATGGTATTTTGCGGTATTTTAATTGTATCGTTGGTGTATTAAAATTATATTCTATTTTCAGATGTTGACACTGACCCCAACCGTGCACCAGACTGCGACCCTACCCAGTGTGTTCTCCCTGACTGTTTCTGCTCTGCTGATGGTACCAGAATTCCAGGAAGTCTTGAACCAGCCAACGTTCCCCAAATGATCACCATTTCCTTCAATGGAGCAGTTAACGTAGACAACATCGATTTATACGAAGAAGTCTTTTCCGGCGCCAGAGCCAACCCCAACGGCTGCCAGATCCGAGGAACATTCTTCGTATCCCATAAATACACCAACTACTCTGCCGTGCAAGATTTGCACAGACGTGGTCACGAGATTGCCGTCTTTTCTCTGACACACAAAGAAGATCCTAACTATTGGAGTCAAGGCTCCTACGACGATTGGTTGGCTGAAATGGCTGGAGCTCGTCTGATCGTTGAACGTTTCGCTAACATCTCTGACGGTTCCATCATCGGAATCCGTGCACCTTACCTTAGAGTTGGTGGAAACAGGCAGTTCGAGATGATGGCTGATCAGTTCTTCGTATACGACGCTTCCATCACTGCTTCATTGGGTCGTGTACCAATTTGGCCTTACACCTTGTACTTCAGGATGCCACACAAGTGTAACGGGAACGCTCACAACTGCCCAAGTAGAAGCCATCCAGTGTGGGAAATGGTGATGAACGAATTGGATAGACGTGACGATCCAACCTTTGACGAATCTCTTCCTGGTTGTCACATGGTTGACTCTTGTTCTAACATTCAAACTGGAGATCAATTCGCACGTCTCTTACGTCATAATTTCAACCGTCATTTCAACAGCAACCGTGCGCCATTAGGTCTTAACTTCCATGCCTCTTGGTTGAAGAGCAAGAAGGAATTCAAAGAAGAACTCATTAAATTCATTGAAGAAATGTTGGGACGTAACGACGTATACTTCGTTACTAACCTCCAGGTTATTCAGTGGATGCAGAATCCTACCGAACTAAATGGTCTCCGTGACTTCCAAGAATGGAAAGAAAAATGCGACATCAAAGGACAACCTTACTGTTCATTACCCAACTCATGCGCCCTTAACACCAGAGAACTTCCTGGAGAGACCCTCCGTCTATTCACTTGCATGGAATGCCCCAACAACTACCCATGGATCTTAGATCCCACAGGAGATGGATTCTCTGTTAGGAAATAATTTATTTTAATGCAATTTTCATCTTAAAGATGGTTTTATTTAAAAGACTTTGTATATAGCTGTACTCAGTTTCCCAAGATTTCTACCAACTCTAAAACTTCGTACTTGCCAAATCTCATCTTTTCTACTTTTATATACGAAGATAATGTTATATAATAAAATAATTGTTAAATAAAAACTTAAAAAATTATACTTGAGATTTTTTCTGCTATCCATTTTGTCGAATTTAAGTAAATCTGTACCCTGGTTGTCATAAAAAATTTCATTAATTCCAAAAATAAGTTGCAAAATTTATAAATAAAACAAAATAAATTGAAAACAAATGAATTTAATAAAATACACTAATTATTCGGCTACAGTTAATCTTGAATAATAAAATAATTAGATGTTTGTATCCAGATTTTATCTTCACATATATTTTTCCATTACAAATTTCAGTTCAATTTTTTGTAATTCATTTGTTTAATGATTAAAGGAATACCTATAACATACATGTATTTGATGAATAAAATATTAACGAAGAAAAAGTTCCTTTTGAAATTTACAATTACCTAACACAAAGTTTTGCTAGGAAATGCAGACAAATGTAAAATAATATTTAAATTTCATCATTTAGGTTACATTTTTTTAACATGTTTTTACTACTTGTGTGTCGATAGAAAGGAACAATCATAAAATTATAATTTATAAGTGTTAAAAGGTCTCTATAGCACTTTATTTTGCAGATAAGGAAGTTTGTATCACACACTGTTTTTATGTGCCTTAATACTCATATATTAACATTTAATTTCCTCAGTAATGGTAGAATTTATTAGAATATAATGAAATACATGATAAATCTAATAATATGTAATTATTGTAAAATACAATATCACAGCGTACATCAATAATGTTACCAAATAAATTACCATTTAATATTTAACAATCATTATCATTATAGCATCCATGATCTATACAAAAATTAACTCACTTTCACTTCTTGTATAAACCTTTTTTGCCATTGACATCAGCGTCCATCAGGAAGTAATTTGCTTAAGGATTAAAATTAAACTGGATGAATTAACACTAAATAATGTACATATTCCTTTTACGACTCTTTTTGTGTAGGAATATGCGGAAACTTAGATTGAGAAAACAGTTTTGATATGAATAATGCAATGTGTTATAAAATTAAGTCTTTTTATATAGCATTTGCCCCTGTCAACTTAGAAATGCTTTACTAATTTTTTGATTTATTAAGCAAATTCAAACAAATTCTGATTGCGAACTGCTGATACTGTGGGAAGTAACTACTCCATTACTATTATTGGATTACACCACTCTGATACTATTGAAACAGTTAGTAACAAATAATTATTCAAAACAAAATTGAAATGTTTAAGTAATAATTAATAGAAAAACACATAACCTGATATGTTTACATTTTCAAATAACGCTATTTTTCAGAGAAACATCCTATATTCTTGCTTTCACCTTTGACAAAGTTTGATAATGTAAAAACAACTGCTACAAAGAGATCTTTTTGTTTCCACATTTTACTGGGGATTGTTTCATCAAATGCCTATATTTTTCTTGTGGACTTTCATAGATCACTAGATTTCAACTATTTCTTTTATAACTAGGTATATATGACTGGAACTTCGTTCTCAGAATTTTTTTTAACAATGACACACAATCGTGCATAATTATTATTATGCATTAAAGTACGATGGTTTTTCGGTTATTATGTACCTATGTACACGTATTGCACTTCCTTAACCTTGGCTAGGAATCTCTGACCTATCCATGTTGCTCTTGTGTTAGGATCTGTTGAGGACGGACTTGCTATCGGAGTCCCTAGTCCCTGCCTGATGTTCATTTTGGTTCTTGTTGTCGATTCTAAGGCCGCTACAGACGGAACCGCTCCTCAGACAATGGTAGTCCTCTAAGACGGTCCGTTGCAGCGTATGCCTCCAAAGGTTTCGCCATTTTTTCACTGTCGGTATCCTCGGTGGTGACTCTGCAAAAGCTTCGCCGCGGCTGAGCCGTAGCGGCCTTAGAGCTAGCAACAAGAATCGAAATAGACATCAAGGCAGCCTAAGGGTTTTGATAGCGGGTCTTACCACAGAGCCCAGCTCGAGAACATCTAAGGAAGGTTAAAACTACTAGGGCTAAGGAAGTGCAATGTAAGTCTGTATCTGGTAGCGACTAGGTACATAGGCCACGGAATAACAATCTGAATAACCACTAGATATCAACACGGTCTGTGACAATAATAAAATCTCTACTAATCCAAAATTGTTTTTGTTCAAACGTCATTGAAAATTTTGAAATGTACAAAGTGATCATGTACCTACCTCATAATGGGAAAAAAAATCTGGAGTTCGTAAGATATAAAAAAGTTGAATGTGTCAACAAAAGGCTAGAAAATTTCGAAAAATTGTAATAGTACCAGTCAATGCGTGATATTAATTTAATTTAAACAGCTATTTATAAAAAAAAATTCTAAAAATGAAAACTGCAGCATCAGCAACTTTTATGTAATTTACATTATCATTTCCGAAAATGATGAGGGGATATCCCTAAGTAAATTAAATAGTTCTCTGTAATGTATAAAAACATATTTATGAACAATATACATATAAAAATAAGAAAATATAATTTAGTAAATATCTCTTGAAAGCCCTCATTACAGTTATTTTGTGTATATCTGCAAACTTTTATAAATGGCAGACTTTTTTTCGTTATAGTCTTTCCGATATCAATTAAAGAACCAACAGATTGACAGTATGTACCAGGTTCGGTCGCTGATGCAGCAACTCGGCATTGAAATATTTGAAAAACTTTTTCCCCTATTTATTTAGCAATACCCATATACAGATCTGGTCGAACTAAACGTGGAGGTGGTAGAAATGTATGCGACCAGTTGAAGAATGCGAACGCGGGCAAAGGAAAACAAAGACAGTTCTATTGGGCTACTGGGTAATAAATCTCATCAGTTGACAAGTGGTTGATAAATTGCCCAGCAGTGCAGTGCAGCAATACGGAATTTGGTGATTCAGGTAATTTTAATTTATTATAGGCACCTTCTATCAATCATTCATATTACAATTGCGAAAGGATGAAATAAGAGGGACATTTTGTTTACCAATATTATCACAACATGGCATTTTGGAGACCTTTTGAAACGGAACAAATCGAAATTTACCGCCAATATAATAAAATTGTTTGAGGACATAAATAATTAAAATATGTTGTTGCCAAATTAACATATAATAGAAATTTTCTACACATTATATACAAATTATTATAATTTTTTACATTTAACAGAAAACTTTTTTAGGGGCGCCTATGAAACTCATTAAATTTTATTGCCAGTCATTTTTTTGCTTGTTTAACTGACTTCGGAAAGACTTTACCAAGGTCCACAGTTCCACTTTTGTTGAAGTTTCTTCTTTAGTTCAATTTGGAGAACTTTAAAATCACTGAAAGACACACACTGTTTCTAATTAAAATTATTTGTAGTAAGTATATACACTCTTCCATTGATAGACTTTAGCTTTTGTCATTAATAATTATTACGAATATGATTTAAGTAATTGAAGACAAATTTTTGCTCTTATAATAACTAATAAGATATTTGTCAATACCAATACAGTTATTTAATAAAATGAAAAATACCTTTTTCATGCGGTAATAGTTAACCTTCACGTGTGTGGTAAGAATATTTTTATTAAAGGAGGATACTGAAAGAATAAGAATTTGATTGCTGAAATTTATTGAGGAGACAAAGTACCAAGGAAATGAAAAACGCATAAAATTTCACATAATGGTTTATTAACTCTACTATATTCAGAAAATGTGAGGCCTAAAAGCCCCATTGTATGATCTACTGATCATCATCACATCATTAGTTTATTCTTATATTTAATTAATAATAAACAATAATATATCAATAATCAATTATCATGTCTATAAGACATAACGTGAACATGGAAACTTGACAAAATGTTTGACTACATTATATAGTTACTAAAGATAAATAAGATCAAGAACTTATAATTTGGACTTTAATAAATACATATTATATTTGGAATGAGATACATCATTCAATAGTTTCATTAGTTTATGGCACAATTTAATTAACACAAATCCTGACAAAATAGTGAAGGCAAGGACAGTCGGCAACATCCTTAAAATTGTATAATCACACACTTTATCAAATTAGTTCACTCACCCCAAAACGACAGGCATGTAGACGTCAGACCATCCCACTGGTTGCGTGGCCCCAAAATAATGACGTTTTTATACAAGAGTTACAAGAATAAATAATTTTAATATCAACACTCGTCTGATCAAAAATTAAGTGATATCATACGTGGCCCCGGATCGCCTCAACCAAATCATCTCTAGATGCCTGTCACGTATTCACCAATAAGGAGAAAACTATCCAATATCATGAATATGTATTTTAAATATCATGCATACACTCTTATATTTTACACATATCTTTTAATGATCATTAAGTAAATATCATAATATATAATATATATAATTGTATTCTTTATATTTTTCAAAAAATAATCTGTTATAATTTGTTTTCGTTATGTGTTTTCTCCTTATTTCTGAATAACCTCGCCTTTCTTACAGGATTATTGTGAATAAATTCCTAATTTAACTTGCTAGGACCAAAGCAACCGTTAATGCAAGACCGTGCTGAGAGGGTACTTAACGGCTCCTTCTACCAACAGCAACTGCTTAACAGAACTGCTAGAAAACAATTGCAATGTTGTATATTGTCGGGTTGCCATTGTTTCCTATCAGAAGATGCAAACGGCTATTTGTTTGCTTTGTGATGTGACTTAAATAACAATCATTACTAAAAATATCACAAAATTGTTGTTGATAAAATGAAAAAATAATGAGCCACTATAAATATATACAAAGTATATTTATACAAATATTCGTACTGGTTTTTATTGGGAGGGTAGAAAAGTCCTTTTCTATGTGGCTCATATTAAAATTCACTCTGCCATCATATTTCAGGTAATTTTATCAGATGTTCTAAAAATATACCAATAACAACAACTAGTTTAAGATTTGACCTTTTTATACGTAGGTCGCTGCTTAAGAGTAAGAAATCTCACACAACATAACTTGCCGTTGTCAGTTACCGAACAACAAAAAGGTTATAAAAAAACTTCAACAAAA